TCATGTACAGAATAGACAATTAGGGGTAAGTGCATAGGGGTTCAATTAAGGAAATAGCTAATGGAGAATCAGTACAATACTTGGTTAACCAAATAAGGTAAGAAACACAATAAAATTGCAGAATATGGAGACAATCGAAAATCGGCACATGGTAAATCAGGGAATCAAGGATTCGAAATTACTGATTTAAGAAGAGTAACATGGGTTCCCATGAATAAGCAAATAAACCAAGTTAAAATAGGAGAATCGAAAGTCTAAAGAGAAATTTTCAAATCAAGCCAAGAAACAGGGAGCTCAGAGTCAATCAAAGAGATAGTCATGAGTCATGTTTTTAACATATAAATAGAGTGAGATGTGAGTAACCAAACATAGCAAGCAAAGGGGCAAGTCTTGACCAGTCAAGACGAACACAAGCACATAGAGCTACTGTAAGTTAGGCATAAGGAACTAGTAGAAACACATTCGAAGTGAGATAGTCACAGAAACTCAAACAAGAGCAGGCCAGTCACAAAATCAAATGAAGAAACTTAGAAGAATTAGGGCTTTCAACATAGGCGAGGTTAAAGAGAAGACAGAAACCCAGAATCGGAAGAATTGCATAAAGGGAACAAGAGATTTCGAAAAGAACTTCTACACTTAAACAAACAGTCTCAGACCCAAAACCATAAGATTTTCAACAATAGAAGGGTTTTAAAAAGAGGATAAACAAACAGATCGGACAAAAACTCTGGCAAACAAACATCGCTTAATAAACAGTCAAAAGAAATTAGGGGTCTTAACATGCTAACTCAGGCAGAATGATAATACAAGCAAACACAACAAAACATATCAAAAAATCAGTGAAAGGTTTCGAAATAACTTAACAGAAACCCTAATCGAAAAGATAAGGAGTTTTGAAAGCGGAGCTTTAAAAGAAACTACGAGAAAAACACTTAAAAGTTCAGAGCAGACATAGGTCTGAAACAAATCTAAGAGGAGTCGAGAGAACCTTGAAGGTTAGGGTTTCAGAAGAACCCCAAGTGGTGAGAAAGGCTTTGAAAACCATCGATTTAAGCAGGAGAGTCAAGAGTCAGACTCGAACAACCATGGCTGGCCGAAGAAAGGTCAGAGACGACCGGAGAACAGCCGTAAACCGGAATGGGCCAAGGTCTGGACCGAGCTCTTTCCAGATCTAGCCTTGAAACCATAATAATCGAACACGTAGAAACCATGGGAGGTGGATACAGGCCTCTAATGACCTTGGAAGCCATGGATTTGGGAGGTTTCAGGGTTGGAGTTTGATGGCGGCCGCTAGGGTTTGGTGGAATCTCAGAGAGAATTGAGGGAGAAGGGAATTCAAGGGCGGCTGAAATGAGAGGATGGGTAGGGTTTGGGGGGTTGTTGGATTAAAAAAGGAAAGGAATTATGGGGACCGTTGATCTTTTAGATCAACGGCCGGGATTTAGTGGGTCTTTGGGTCAGGTATTTTAATTCGAAATTGGGCTGGGATTGGGGTTTGAACTGGTTATAATTGAAATACAAATGGGGCTACCATTTAAATAGCCATTTTTCCTTGTTTGATTTTTAAAAATTGTAAAATAATTTCTGGAAATAAATTAAGGGTACTAAAATGATTAATAGTACATAATTAACTATTTAAAAATACCAGACCTAATTTTTATGAATTAAATGTAATTAATCCTAAAAAAGGCTAATATTGTAATTACATACAATTTAACTTTAAAAATACTAAATGAGCTTGTAAAAATATGCAAAAATTATATTAGCCACATTTTAATATAAATATAAAAATCCAATAAATGAATCACCAAAAATAATAATTTTGGAAATAATTATTGGGTTTTTACGGATAAAATAGGGCGATAAATTGATTAAAAATCTTTAAAAATTAAGGAAAAAATAGTAAAACATTTGGACATGCTATTTTGAAAGTATTTTGTATATTAGAAATGTATAGGGAAAAATTGGGTATCAACAAACCTCCAGGGGTCAAATCGCACGATGAGGAATCAAGAAGGGAAGTACTCCTAACAGTCCTGTAGCCTCCCGGGGATAAGTACAGACGTCTCCGTACCGATCCGCGAGACTCTACTAGACTTGCTCATGACTCGTGAGACCTACGGGAACCTAGTGCTCTGATACCATGTTGTCACGATCCAAAATCCACTAAGGGTCGTGATGGCGCCGGACACCACTGTTAGGCAAGCCAACCAAAATACTTAATCAAATTCTCGTTTTAATACTCTTGAAATCTAGGATTTTCCTTGCAATACCAATTAAAAAGATAATCGTCTCAAATCAAATTTAAATGATAAGCAGTTAATACAAAATACTTCATAACCATCCCAGAACCCGGTGTCACAAGTGCATGAGCAATTTCTAAGAAATCGAATAAAGTACAACCGCTGTCCGGAATACAAATTGGATAGAAAATAAATAAAATTCTGAGAGAGACTATACTAGCTGGGGGTTGCCTCGAGGAAATACAGCTCACCTAGTCTCCGTGTCACCCATACTGCAACGCCCAGTAGGCCACTAGAAGTACTTGCACCTGTGCAACAAAATGCACAACAAGTGTAGCATGAGTACGAAAACAACGTGTACTTAGTAAGTATCCTGCCTAATCTCGAAGAAGTAGAGACGAGATGGCAACTTCGACACTTACTAATGATCCAATAACAATATTATTAATGCGATAAATCACGGATTTATTAAGAATGACAGTAAATTCGAATGAGTCACAAACAGGTAAGGGTTCCTTTTTATTGAAAGTCTCCGGATTCATAATCCACTAATTAACAGTTTTCTCAAGTCGGGGAGAGCAGATATCGGTATCAACAAATATCAAGGCAAGCAATACAAGTATGCGCAACTCATGCCGAGGTCGTACGGCCCGATCCAACTAAATGTAAAATGTGCACTGCCGAGGGTCGAACGGCGCGAACCATAGATGTATCTATTTAATCTACCGTGGTGTTCGGCCCGTTCCACAATAGATAAATACATTCAAATAGTCAAGTCAATAATTCATCAAGGAGCAATTATTAAGAAATATGCAAGTTTCTCTTTTAAAAGTCAAGAAATGATGTCTAGTCTATTAGAAATTCATTTACATGTTCAATATGTTCAAGCATTTTTAAATTTGTCAACAAGGTTGCATTTATTACAAGTAAGCATGCTTCTGGGTCGTAGACTACCCGGACTTAAGCATAATAGTAGCTACGCACGGACTCTCATCCCCTCGTGCATACGTAGCCCCCACAATTAGGAGCACATAACCAATTAACTCATCTATGGGGACAATTCCCTCTCACAAGGTTAGAAAGGAGACGCACCTTGCTCCGAAGATCCATAACTGGCCTTCCACGCCATTCCGGAGACTCAAATTGATGCACAACGCTCCAAACTAGCCAATAATTATGCAAATCCATTAATATATGCTCAATTACTCATTACAATCCAATTTATAAGAATTTCTAACCTCGATCGAAAAGTTGACAAAATCGCCCTCGGGCCCACGTGCCCGGATTCCAAAAATTTTCGAAGATTAAGCTTACCCATAACCCCTCGAACTCAAATATATAATTTACTCTCAATTTCATACCCAAAATCGTGGTCAAATTCCAAGAATATCAATTTTCTAGGTTTTCCTCAAACCCCCAAACTTCTTCCAATTTACATGCTAAAATCCATACATAATCGATATATTTAACTCAAGATAGGTGGGATTAGCTTACCTTATCATTGATGATGAAAACCCCCTCTTGAAACCCTCCAAGAATCGCCCAAGCCAAGAGAAAAATGAGAGAAAATGGCCAAATCCCGATTTCTAAAACACTCACTGTCTCCAGCACTTCCGCACCTGCGGTCCAACGACCGCTTCTACTGTTCCGCAGGTGCGGCCTCTATACCGCTCCTGCGGTTTCTCACCAGGCCCCCTTTTCCACTTCTGCGCCTCGACCATCGCAGGTGCGGTCCCGCTTCTACGGCTACATGACCGCATCTCCGGTCCCTTCACTTCCAGTCCAAAACCGCATCTGCGGGGCCGCTTCTGCGGCTTCGCACCTGCGGCCCTAGTCTCGCAGGTGCGGTTATACCAGCAACCAACAACTTCAGCCTTTTCCAAAAGTCCATTTTCGATATGTTAACCATCCGGAATCCACCCGAGGCCGCCGGGACCCCAACCAATCATACCAACCGGTCCCAAAACACATTACGGACTTGCTCGAGGCCTCAATCATATCAAACAACGCTAAAACCACGAATCGACCCCCGATCCAAGCTTTATGAACTTTAGAATTTCAAACTTTTACTCTCGATGTTTAAACCTATCAAATCACGTCCGATTGACTTCAAATCTTGCACACAATTCATATTCGACATTACAGACTTACTCCAACTTTCGGAATCAGATTCTAACCCCGATATCAAAAAGTCCACCTCCGGTCAAACTTCTCAAAAACCTTCAAATTTCTATCCTTAACCAAATGGCTCCAAAATGCTCCACGGACATCCGAATTCACTTCCGATCGCGCTCCCAACTCCAGAATCACCATACGAAGCTACTCCCAGACTCGGAATCCCAAACGAACATCGATAACACTGAAATGCACTTCAACCCAAACTTATGAAATTTCTTCCAAAAATGCTAACTTCCACAATAGGCGCCAAAACGCTCCCGGGTCACCCAAAACCCGATCCGGGCATACGCCTAAGTCTGAAATCATCATACAAACCTACTGGAACCTTCAGATCCCGATTCCGAGGCCGTTTACTCAAAAATCCAATCCTAGTTAATTCTTTCAACTTAAAGCTTCCGAAATGAGGATTCTCTTTCCAAATCAACACTGAACTTCCCGAAATTCAATTCCGACCATGCGCGTACAAGTTATAATGCCTAAATTGAAGCTGCTCATGGCCTCAAACTGCCGAACGGCGCGCTAGAGCTCAAAACGACTGGTCGGGTCATTACAATCGTAGTTCAACCATAGCCAATAGAGATGGCAGGTAATGCAGAGTGTGCGGTGATTGAAGCCGCAAGGCCCAATCTTGCTAACATGACTCAGGCTATTGTGAAGCCTGAGATTCTAGGGCATTTTGAACTCAAACAGTACATGGTACAGCTGATTCAGTCCATAGGGCAATATGTGGGTCTATCTCATGAAGACCCGCAGAGGCACATTCAGAATTTCTTGGAAATTACGGACACTTACAATTATCCGAACATTTCCAAGGACTATGTCAGGCTGAAACTTTTCCCCTTTTCACTACTTGGGGAAGCTAAGGAATGGTTGCAAAAGGAGCCCGCGAACTCAATCCACACTTGGGATGATCTAGCAAGGAAATTCTTAATCAAGTTTTCCCCCACTAAGAAGACAAAGTCATTGAGGAGTCAAATTTTAGAGACTGCCCACATCATTGTCAGACGGATGAGGTATTAGGTCACACTTTTGTTGATGGGCTAGATGATGCATCAAAGATGAATCTTGATTCAGCTTATGGGGGTAGTTGCATGGCTAGACCGTACAGTGAAATCCAACTCTTGCTAAATAACTTCACTGCTAATGATCATAATTGGCAAGGAGATGGGGATTCACGAAGGGCAATTAAACATAAAGCAGCCCGGTTGATTGAGCTTGATGACTTCTCAGCCATGAGAGCCGATATAGCGAAATTGGCAAATCAGATGAATAGAATGACAATGCAACAAACACAACCGATGCAACATGTACAACAAATGTCTATTTGTTGTGAACTATGTGGCGACAATCATATGAGTGACATGTGCCCCACGAATCCTGAATCCATATACTATGTGGGGCAACAGAGCAGAGGTCCAATAAATCAGCATGCACAATATGGGAACACTTACAATCCAAATTGGAAGAATCATCCCAACTTCTCATGGGGTAGAAATTAGCCGAATCAGAATCATTATAGACCCTAAGGAAATTTCAATCAACCTCAGAAGCCACCCCAACAAATGGAAGAGAGTACAAATGACTTGCCAAAGAAGTTGTTGCTTGACAATCAACAGCTCAGGACCGATTTCAGAAATCTTGAGAGGCAAATGGGGCAGTTAGCAACAAATCAAAATACTAGACCTGTAGGAGCTCTCCCTAATGATATAGAGAAGAACCCTCAAGTTAATGCAGTTACACTCAGAAACGGGAAGGAACTAGAGGAAGTGCCAAATAAGAGAAAAGACAAGCCTATACCTGAGGGGGAGTTGATTCCTAAGGCGACACACGAATCAAAGAAAAATGATGCAACTTCAGAGCCAGTGGAGGCTGCAAGGCCACCACCACCTTTCCCCCAGAGATTGCAGAAAAAGAATGATGATCGCATGCTCAGCAAATTTCTCTCTGTGTTGAGCCAGGTTCAATTAAATATTCCACTGGTGGATGTACTTCGTGAAATTCCAAAGTATGCTAAGTACATAAAAGATATAGTGGCTCACAAGAGAAGATTGACTGAATTTGAGACAGTTGCACTTACTGAGGAGTGCACTTCAAGGGTCCAAAACAAGCTCCCTCAAAAGCATAAGGATCCTGGCAGTTTTACCATCCCTGTGCGAATTGGCAATATTGATGTGGGTCGTGCGCTTTGCGATTTGGGGGCGAGCATAAATCTGATGCCCTTATCCTTGTTCAAGAAATTAGGTCTGGGAGCTCCAAGACCAACTACTGTGATGTTGCAGCTGGCTGATAGGTCCATAGCACATCATGAGGGAGTGATTGAAGATGTATTGCTGCAAATTGGGAAGTTCATATTCCCTGCAGACTTCATTATACTAGATTACGAGGCTGATGAACTGGTTCCAATCATATTGGGACAACCTCTCTTGGCTACTGGTGATGCAATTATTAAAGTGAGAGAGGAAAAAATGATTTTGAGGGTGGATGACGAGGAAGCAGTATTTAATGTCTACAAAGCAATCCAACTTCCCAGCCACTATGAGGAGCTCTCGATGATATCTGTTGCGGAGGTGGACGAGCAACTTCTTGACACGAGTGTATATCTAGACGATTCTCTAGAGAAAACACTTATGTTGTTCGATAGCTTGGAGATTGATGAGGAGGTTGAGGAGATGATGCATATTCTAGATGCATCCTGTGCTTACATGCAGGGGATACACCCCTTTAAGCCCTTAAATAGGCCAAGTGGACCTCCTCCAAAGCCGTCAATTGAGGAAGCTCCAAAATTGGAGCTCAAACCCTGCCGGAAAGCTAGACGACGCATTATGGGCATATCGAACTGCATACAAGACTCCCATAGGTACTTCTCCGTATAAATTAGTTTATGGGAAGGCGTGCCACTTGCTCGTCGAGCTTGAACACAAAGCCTATTGGGCAATTAAAAAGCTGAATATGGATATGGACTTAGCTGGTGAGAAGAGGTTGCTGCAACTCAACAAGCTTGATGAGTTTCGATTGCACGCATATGAAAATGCCAAATTATATAAAGAAAAGACTAAGAGGTGGCATGACAAGCACATCCAACATCGAGAGTTTGAGCCGGGTCAGGAAGTTCTCTTGTTCAATTCGAGGTTGAAGCTTTTCCCTGGAAAGCTTAAGTTTCGTTGGGCAGGTCCTTTTGTTGTGGTAAGTGTGAGGCCTCATGGAGCTGTGGAACTGCGTGATACGAGCTAAAGTGGTACCTTCTTGGTAAATGGCCAGATAATAAAATATTATTGGGGTGGTGACATTGCACGTCACAAGACCTCGGTGGACTTGGTCGATGCTTAAAAATGTGTTGAGTCGTGCCGCGACGTTAAATCAGGCGCTCGTTGGGAGGCAACCCAATTTTTACTGTTTTCGTAGCGTAGTTTTTTGTTTTCTCTTAGTTAAAGTAGACTAACATTTTTGTTTTGTTGTAGTTGTATAAAATATTAGGTGGGGATGGTGGAGTGTGTGTGAATTATGTATTGAGGGCTCGGGTAGTTAAATTGAAAAAAAAAAATCAGCGAACTGAGCGCCCAGCCCAGCGCCCCACGCTGGCTGGGGCGCACTTTACAGTAGCCAAGAATTTCCATCGCCAGCCCCAGCGTGGGGCGCTGGGCTGGCCGCTCACAGGTAAGTAAAAAAAAAGTTTTATTTTTATTTCATTTTCGTTTTTCTTTAATTAATTAAAATCAAAACCCAATCAAAAGAAGATATTCTGAAGTATCGTGCTGAGAACTACACTGAAGTAGTCTGAAACCACTGTTTCGCGATCGCGGAAAATGCTTCGCGATTGCGGAGAACAATTTTTTCAGCCCAAAATTTACTCTTCGCGATCGCGGAAAGAGCTTCGCTATCGCGGAGAACAATTTCCCAGCCTTCCGGACAGCCTCTAGTAGAATAGTCATAACTCTTTGCACACAACTCCAAACGACAAATGGTTAAATGTTCTAAAAACTAGACTCAAAGATATACAAGTTTCATGTGTTGGTTATTTCCCAATTCCTTATAGATTTCTAGATATAATCTGTCAAAGTCCGCCCATGTGTAACACAACTTTCTTCTTCATCTTCCCGGATACCCTGTAGTGTAACAGCCATATATCTTTGTACACAAATCCAAATCATGAATGGTTTACTTTTCTAGAAACTAGACACAAAGGGCTACAACTTTCAGTTTTATATTATCTCAAAATTCCTTATAGATTGTGAGATATGAGCCTCCGAAGTCGAGTCAGTGCAGCAGAATATTTACTCTACGCGATCGCGAAAGGGCTTTCCGCGATCGCGATTCACTGGCCCGTTTCTCGCATTTTACTCAACGCGATCGCGACCAATTCCTCGCGATCGCATAGAACACCGCTGTAGCCAAAAACCAGCAGTTATAAATGGCCTAGAAATGGTCCGAAACCACCCCGAAACACACCCGAGCCCCTCGGGACCCCGTCCGAACGTGACAACAACTCTGGAAACATATCACGGACTTAGTCGAGGCTTCAAATCACATCAAACAACGTCGAAATCACGAATCACGCCAAAATTCATCTTTATGAACTTTGAAATTTCTAACTTTCACATCCGATGCCGAAACCTATCAAATCTCATTCGATTGACCCCAAATTTTGCAGGCAAGTCATATTCGACATTACGGACCTGCTCCAACTTCCGGAATCGCATTCCGACCACGATATCAAAAAGTCCACTTCCGGTCAAACTTCTCAAAAACCTTCAATTTTCTATCTTTAGCCAAATAGCTCCAAGATGACCTACGGACCTCCGAATTCACTTCCGATCGCGCTCCCAACTCCAGAATCACCATGCGGAGCTACTCCCAGTCTCGGAATCCCAAACGGACATCGGTAACACTGAAATGCACTTCAAGCCAAACTTATGAAATTTCTTCCAAAATGCCAACTTCCACAATAGGCGCCAAAACGCTCCCGGGTCATCCAAAACCCGATCCGGGCATACGCCCAAGTCCGAAATCATCATACGAACCTGCTGGAACCTTCAGATCCCGATTCCGAGGTCGTTTACTCAAAATTCCAATCCTAGTTGATTCCTTCAACTTTAAGCTTCCGAAATGAGAATTCTCTTTCCAAATCAACTCCGAACTTCCCGGAATTTAATTCCGACCATGCGTACAAGTCATAATACCTAAAATGAAGCTGCTCATGGCCTCAGACTGCTGAACGACGCGCTAGGGCTCAAAACGACCGGTCGGGTCGTTACATTCTCTCCCACTTAAACATACGTTCGTCCTCGAACGTGCTGAGAACTACACTGAAGTAGTCTAAAACCACTGTTTAACTTCTCATGCACCTTCTCGTGCTACCACAACTCAGTTGAGCACATCAGCTCGATCAATTCTGAAGATATTCCCTTTTATTCAAGCAAATAAGCCTTAGAACCCAATTCCAACATCCGGAATTTTATGCCCGACCTGTTTCCATCGTAAGATCACCATATCAATCACTACACGCTGTACCCAAACATGGCTGCATAACTTTGCTGAATTCACACCTAGCATCACTTTACTCATCGGACCACAATAATATTTTCTAATTAATTTAATCGAAATTCCACGAATCTGGTGCTCCCATTGCACCGCATGACATACATAGGTCTTGTTCTAACTCTTACAATACCGACACGACAGATAAGATGTGTATAAATTCTTAACCATTGCCGAAACAGCAATTCATTGGGTCTATACTCCTGGCAAGAACTATCACCTCATTCTGAACCAAACAATGGTCTTAGCCCCTTGATATACTTCATATACTCAGATTGCACTGATCTCGAATTCAATGATCTCGTCTCACCCAGTACGAACTGCTCAGGCAATGAGCCACCCCGACATGACCAAAAGTCCCATATGATGATACAATGTGCCAATAGGCTACCATAACGAACGCGATATAAAGGAAAGCAAACTTTGAGAAGGAAACTCAACTACACCGCTCGCGAATCATACATGCGATGCGGTGGACTTAATTAACAAACACCCCACGCGAATCATACATGCGACGCGGGCACACAGCTAATATAAGCTTTTCTCATAAAATAGGAGACAAAACACATAAAAACAGATACGGGGATCTATACTCAGCTTCACACTGTTGCGGCGCGCAACCCGATCCGAACAATATAACCATGGCGGCGTGCCACCCGATCCACCCATAAAACTCGCATAAGGAGATACGCACCGAGCTAGATTGCTCATTTCAATAATATACCGAATATCGGTCACAAGCACACTAAGTGCATAATTCCATCCCTGGGGAGACATATAGCGCCAGAAGCCACAAAACTCAAGCACGACTGAGGTGCGATATACGATTTGAAATCTCAAAAGCATCCTGCTCATATAACATCATCTCTACGCAGATCCTCAACACATAAGCAATTTCTCAAGCCGTCTCCCAACTCACACGGCGCAATGTATCACTACATGAAATATCTGACAACAAAATAACACCCTGACTACTCCTCCATAAGGAGCGCATTACTGAACTGAACGCGTTTGGCCTGATATAGAGCCCATATTCACATTTGAATCCATCCACCGACCTCAAGCCGTTTCTGATCGCACTGAACTAGGCTAATTACCTTTCAAAGGTCCATAATAACTCCTCTTCCGCTCATAACACATAAGAACATCCATCATACTCGAGAGGCAAATGGGGCAGTTAGCAACAAATCAAAATACTAGACCTGCAGGAGCTCTCCCTAATGATATAGAGAAGAACCCTCAAGTCAATGCAGTTACACTCAGAAACGGGAAGGAACTAGAGGAAGTGCCAAATAAGAGAAAAGACAAGCCTATACCTGAGGGGGAGTTGATTCCTAAGGCGACACACGAATCAAAGAAAAATGATGCAACTTCAGAGCCAGTGGAGGCTGCAAGGCCACCACCACCTTTCCCCCAGAGATTGCAGAAAAAGAATGATGATCGCATGCTCAGCAAATTTCTCTCTGTGTTGAGCCAAGTTCAATTAAATATTCCACTGGTGGATGTACTTCGTGAAATTCCAAAGTATGCTAAGTACATAAAAGATATAGTGGCTCACAAGAGAAGATTGACTGAATTTGAGACAGTTGCACTTACTGAGGAGTGCACTTCAAGGGTCCAAAACAAGCTCCCTCAAAAGCATAAGGATCCTGGCAGTTTTACCATCCCTGTGCGAATTGGCAATATTGATGTGGGTCGTGCTCTTTTCGATTTGGGGGCGAGCATAAATCTGATGCCCTTATCCTTGTTCAAGAAATTAGGTCTGGGAGCTCCAAGACCAACTACTGTGATGTTGCAGCTGGCTGATAGGTCCATAGCACATCATGAGGGAGTGATTGAAGATGTATTGCTGCAAATTGGGAAGTTCATATTCCCTGCAGACTTCATTATACTAGATTACGAGGCTGATGAACTGGTTCCAATCATATTGGGACAACCTCTCTTGGCTACTGGTGATGCAATTATTAAAGTGAGAGAGGGAAAAATGATTTTGAGGGTGGATGACGAGGAAGCAGTATTTAATGTCTACAAAGCAATCCAACTTCCCAGCCACTATGAGGAGCTCTCGATGATATCTGTTGCGGAGGTGGACGAGCAACTTCTTGACACGAGTGTATATCTAGACGATTCTCTAGAGAAAACACTTATGTTGTTCGATAGCTTGGAGATTGATGAGGAGGTTGAGGAGATGATGCATATTCTAGATGCATCCTGTGCTTACATGCAGGGGATACACCCCTTTAAGCCCTTAAATAGGCCAAGTGGACCTCCTCCAAAGCCGTCAATTGAGGAAGCTCCAAAATTGGAGCTCAAACCCTGCCGGAAAGCTAGACGACGC